ACGTGCATCTAAACAAAATTTGCAAGTTATTATTCCTTCTCGTGAGTTTCAGATCTTTGCTGATTGTGATCAAGGTCAACCTGAGTCTAGCATCAGCAAATCCAATTCCTAAGCATTTCCATCACGATGAGACTGCATCTTGGCTTGTGCACCTCTGTAACCCAACGAGCTACACATGATGGCTTTTGTCAAGCTGAAGATTTAACCATGCCTGGAAGGTCAAAGAGTAGAGGTCAGGCAAAGTGCAGTCTCCTGGTCCTCCAAATTGGCGTTTCGATTCGAATTGGTCTCTCAGTCCTTAAAATAGTAGAGCAGTAATTGATCTAAGTAAATATGCCTCCATTCTTCGTTAACCACCTGTTTTAATTAAACACCTAAGTGTGTTGAACAGCAGACGGGGCGAACCCCAAAGTCACGAGGACCTACTGTTCAGTGGTGGAAACCAGCAACCTAGGCCCCGGGACTTGGAGTGGCGAACCACCTTGTGGTGAGGTTCATGTCAGAACCAAAGGCTTTGGTCGTGAACCGTAATCGTTGAGGCCTAAAGGATGAGGATTGTCGTTGGTTAGAGACGCCCTGAATAGAAGTCAGTGTCGCGAATGGTGTACGGTTGACCAGTTGAATTCCCGTGCCCGATAAACTACGATACAATAACGCAGACAAAAATTTGAAGTGTACTGTGAAACACAAAAGAATTATATCATCTATTCGTAATTTTCCTAGGGGTTGGACCAATCCAGACTTGAACTAACATTTTACACTTTGAAGGTGAAAGCGTTTACCGAACATGGCTACACTGGCTTTCAAACTATCCAGAAAAGGTTGCAACTTACTTGGATCTTCACTTAAGAGCACAATGTAGTCTGCGTATGCTAAATCGGACGGCCTACCACCGGAGAGGAAATCGATACCGCTATCTTCTTGCAAGATAATCAGGACCGCACTACCCATTGCATTAAGCGGAGTGGGTAGTGATAATTGGACTATTGCTCAGATATCCCAACCTTTGTTTAATTCTTTGTCTTCCGTACTCAGCCTTCTCCATTTGCCTCTTCTTCCGACCTGTAATAATCGCTCCTATTCTTCATCCAAGTGGGCAGCCAACAGACAGCAACCAAAACCGGCGCACGAAAGTGCATGGTTAATGGTTGTTCAAACTGAAACTGGAACTGAAATAATCGCTCAAGCAATTTGGATATCGCTCGCCAAAGGTCGTTGCCAAATAGCACTGTAAGTAATGTAACACGAAATGAATCGCAGATTCAAAAGCCTCGTCAAGCACTGAATCTGGAGGCCTTCAACTTGAGGGCTCTGATTCAGGTAGGTCAACAAGCTTGTCTGACGCACATAATGGAATCCTTCGGGAGCGACATTGGCTGCATGTCGGAGACTCGAATTCAGGATCCTACTACTATAAGCCACTTGAGCGCGCTAGATTTGTCCTCAAGGTACAGTTCAGTTCCGTCTTTACAACCATTAACCATGCACTTTCGTGCACCGGTTTTGGTTGCCCATCTGGATAAAAGAGCAAAATGTAGATTGGAATGTCGAAGGAAATTCAAGCGGAAAGTGGGGAATTCATATAGAGTGGTGTTAAGAGAATAACGAGTGGATGCACGAGCGCATATCTGGCTACGACGAAACCCGTGCTGTAGGTCAGCGCGGGGTGGATATTGTACTCAGTAACAACTCTGAGTCCTCTCTTATCGATTGGATCCCCATCAATAGTTTTTTGCGTACAGTTTGTCTCCACGGTTCAATCGGCGTCCGGAAAGGTAGAAGCACCGAAAGCTGCTTATTCATCACATCAGCATGTGCACCGACCAGTTGCGGTTTCGATACACAAAAGGACGCTTTCTATGATAAACTAACCGACCTCATTCGAATGAGTCGAAACTCCGGCATAGTTTTACCTGTGGGTGACTTTAACTCGCAGGTTGGAAAACTGAATGCATTAGAAGCTTGCCTTGGTGGTAGTTGTGCTCTGCCCTGCCAACAATCAAATAACGGCAAACAACTTCTTCAGTTCTGCGCAGACCATCATCTGTTCCTCTCCAGTACCAACTTCCGACACGGCTCTCGACAGACGGCAACGTGGCGCTCCAGTTCAACTGGTACGCTAACTCAAATGGACCACATAGCAGTAAGCTACCGTTGGCGTGACTCCGTCCAAAATTGCAGGTCATATTAGACCAACTGCCTTGAGTCTGACCACTCAGTTTCAGTTTCCGTGCGACGCTTTTAGTTGCTGTCTTTTGGCTACCCATTTGGGTGAACTATCGGAGAAAGACAGGAGAGGTTCAAAGTAATATCGAAGAGAAAAGTTGGAATTTCAGTGGTCTAAGGTTGCAAAGAAATTGAGAAGATGCACGAAGACCACTGCTTACGACACCCAGCCATATCACTCAGTGTCTCTATCCATCGGGTACGATCATCTCGAGGTCCCCAGCCAGCAAGCCTAAAGGGACCTACGTGAACCAGACTCCTGGTTAGGGTTTTCATACCCTCGTGTCAGGTCTTAGCTTGACCACCCTTGACTTCATTCCACCCACTACCTGCCTCGGCAAACATCGCTCGCCATGGCAACCTATCTGGTGACATGTGTAACACATACCCCAACCAAAGTAATTTATCTAGGTCGACCATTTGATCCAATGGGCGACCGCATTTGCGTAAAGCTCTGCGCCTAACCTCAGCATTGCTCATCCGGCCACCCCATCAGATTCGTGCAATGCTGCGTAGACAACGGTATTCAAACACCGACCGTCTATCTTTATCCTGTTTTCTTAATGTCCAAGTTTCTGCTCCATATAGCAGAACTGGCCAAACTGCTGCAGCATACACTCGACCTTTAACAGACAGCCGGATGTCGCGACGGCGCCACAGATGTCTCAATTTGGCAAATGTCAAGCGGGCTTTCTGTATGCGAGCTGACACTTCATCCGTATTTGTATTTGTATAACTTGTATAAGCATATATGCGTCAACCGGGTGAGACGTAGCTGCCCAAATAACAAAACTTATCCACCTGCTCTATTACTTCCCCAGTTAGAGTGAGGCTGGGTACTGGATCAACCCAGTCTTGTAGTAACATTTTACACTTTGAAGGTGCAAAACGCATACCGAATATGGATACACTGGCACTCAAACTACCCAGAAAAGCTTGCAGCAGGACCTGATGAGCTCCCTCCCACTCTTTTCAAGATGGGAGGTGATAACCTCGTAACCTCTATTACTACCCTACTGCGTGACATTTGGATGCAAGAGCACATTCTTTCATCTTGGGGTGAATCACTGATCGTTCCCATTTTCAAGAAAAAGAGAATAAAGAGAGATTACCGCCTTTAGTTCCCATTCTCGAGCAGCATACGCAGGAGTACAATTCCGTTGCCATTCAAAAGCGATATTCAGGCAAATAGCTTGCGGTGAGCCAGTAAGTACAAATCAGACACCATAGAAGAGTCACTGATGATGATATAAATGGTCTGACATAATTTATCTGATGGGGTCGAAATGGAAGAACCAGCACCACTCCAAATAGGGTTTCACTATTGAGAGGGGAGCGTTTTGTCCAATACTTAATTACGATAGGCTTCTTGGACAGGATAAGCCGGTTTCATGAATGCTAATACTTTATGCGGTTTGATCCGAGAGGTGTCCAAAGTAACACCTAGGTTTTTGTCTAGTGCACATCCAGCACAGTCAAATGCGAACTACAGTGTAGCATTAGTTTTGCGTACGGTTGTCGATGCCTTCATAAAAGCTCATTCACTATTCTATAGGTGTGGATGCAGCCTAGATATCCATGCATCCTTGTTAGTTGACCGAATTTCCTTTATAGTCTTCACCAGACAGTAGATGTCGTCCGCCGACGAAGGGGTATCTGTCTTCGCATATCATTTGCTATCTCGCTTAAAGTTTTTTGTCCCGTTTATCATCCACCTGGTTTAAACCAACTGTTGAGCTACTTGCTTATGATTGGCCAGTGATTTGTGCATTAGTTTCTTGAAGATACTGCTGAGAGTTGGCTGATTGATGTTGATCAATGAAGTGGAATGCACCCAAAGAACACGGCAGTAATAGTTCCTAGGGGCAACTCATACCGACTGATTCTTACAATAGTAGAAGTAGTAGTAATAACACAATAGTATGGGTGCGTCGGGTTTGAGATACGATACCAGCATGATAAATGAGGGTAGAAACACATGGAAAGAACGAAAAGGAGAAACCTAATATTAAGCACAGGTTTGTTGAACTAAGAGCAACAGGGTCATAATGTAAGTGAGAAGATAAATAGTAATGTCTAATGCAGATGCACACGAGCGATGTCTTATAAGCATTGAAGGATCCTATGTGTAGATGTGAGGGTATGGGAATCTCAATCAAATTGAAAAGGATGGAACGGGATGAGGGTCACGGAAACAATATTGGCATGAGTTATCCGCAAAGGGACGAATGAGGTTAGGGGGCAAATAAAATAGGTTGTTAACATATGTGGGAATTACAGAGGATAAATTGAATGGAACCTGGTGAGATGCCAGCCCCCACAAGAAACAAACTGAGGAAGTATTCCCCCAACTCGGTTGAAGTGATTGAGGCAATAAATGACCGAACTTGAAATGCATCAGGGCGGTGGCGGCTAAGTGGTTAGGTCACCAAATTATGACCCAAAAGTCCCGGGTTCGAACCGCTCCACCACCGCCCGTCTTCCCCATTTCTGTATTTCTCCTAGCAGCCTTTGTATGGCCGCATCCCCCTTCTGGAAAGTTGACTGCACATTTGTATATTCAATAAATAAAAAAGGAAGTACAAAGACACTTTAAAGACTCTTAAGGACTTGAGTGTGGCATGTGTCTGACTTTCGAGCTCATTACGTTTGGTATTCATAACCAGTGCTAAATATTTTCTAAGTGTTGAATTTTTTGCTTCATACAAAATGGCTGCAGCAACTCTAATGACGATAGCCGTTGGCTATTTTGTTTCCTGTATTCTAAACTTCAGCCCAAAATTATCGTTCAATGTCTCAGTGATCTGCTCGATCCATTTCGGGATGAGAGGGATTCTGGCGAGCTAATTTTCACTCCCATTGCATTGCTTTTGGGTCTGAGTATTCCACTATGGTGGCCGCTGACTCAAACCGATGATGGTACGATTGAGCTTGGTAAGTCAAACATTCCTAAATACACCAAATAGTTTACAAATTTTGCTTTTAATAAATTCCATTCCGTAACGGTCCAGTTCACATGCCTCTTCTATCCTCCCGCATTGTTTGACGATCGTGGTTTGCAGTGACTCTAGTGACCACTGAAACTATGCTTCCGAGAAATGTCACGAGTTCTGGCCAATCAGATGAAGGTTTTTTTACATGTGTGCGTGCGTGCGTCAGAATGATGAATGAAGTTTTCCTATACACTGCTCTCATTAAGCGATCACATAGGGCGTACTCGTAACTACTGACTAAAACTTGGATGAAGTGTTTTCTGGTTTTTGGAATTGGATCATGGTACTTGTACATATGATGACTTTTCATATTCTTTGCCCTTGTTTTGAATACAATCCCTCAGATTTTCCACTAATTTTCATGTTTTCCTTACCATTTAACCACATTCATGCATTGATCGTATTTAATCCTCGTTTGGAAAACAAGCAATACAACGAAACTGTGTTTGTGATGGTCGACAGAGTGCACTGGACAGACTTTTCGTCCGTGTTGGGATTTATTAATGATGCGTACCATGGTTGTGTCCTTGTTGGAACACAAGCCGTAACCATTAGCGCTAGGAGTCAGAACCGTTATCCCAGTGCTATAGTTAGTTACGAATACAATCACAAACCGAATGGATTACTTTCAGACCCGTAATCCGCTCAATCGAGATGCAAAACGACCACACGTGAGTGTGAGATAGTTTATAATGCGCTTGGTTTGTGGACCAAGCTGTTCCGAGTGATACGCACTACGGCAAGTCCGCGAACTCCAGTTAGTGAAACAGTCTGCGATAAGATGGGACGAGCTATTCACAATAGAATTCAAAGACTTCATTGCTGGGCGGAATACTTCAGCGGACAGTTCAACTGGCCTGCCACTAGCCAGGTTACTTCATCTGTAACTGAAGCTCCTTGGGAGATGTCGTGCGATTCTTCGACAGGAGCAGAAGTTCGGTCTTTTATTCAAGCTCTGAAGCGAGGAAAGGCAGCAGGACCTGATGAGCTCCCTCCCACTCTTTTCAAGATGGGAGGTGATAACCTCGTAACCTCTATTACTACCCTACTGCGTGACATTTGGATGCAAGAGCACATTCTTTCATCTTGGGGCGAATCACTGATCGTTCCCATTTTCAAGAAAGGATCCCGCAACGATTGCGAAAACCACCGCGGGATAAGTTTGATTCCGATCGTCACCCAAAGTGCTAGCTTCGGTTATACTTCGACGTCTGACTCGTTTAAGAGAGATCAATATCCGTGAACAGCAAGCCGGATTCCGGCCTGGCCGTGGATGTATTGATCAGATTTTTGCGTTGCGTCAGGCCCTTGAGCTGCGACCAACGATCGCAATGTTCCTTGACCTGAAACAAGCCTTCGACTCAGTTGACCGCAAAGCTCTGATGGGCTCCCTTCTTCGAAAAAGGAATGCCCCAGAAGTATGTTAACCTACTGAGGTCCCTGTACTCACATACCTCTGTTCGAGTGAGGGTTCACAACGAACTAAGTAGTCCGTTCATCACCAGCAGCGGCGTTCTTCAAGCGTGCCCTCTTTCGCCGTTCCTGTTCAATTTCGTCGTAGACGAAATTCTGGAGAGCGCACTAAGGGGACTCCAAAACGTAGGTATTGAATGGACAGCTGGACAAAAGCTGTGCGATTTAGAGTATGCCGATGACATCGTCTGTCTGTTCGAATGTATGGAGGACGCGCAATGTGCGCCTGATAGCCCAACAACTGCTGTTACCACATTCGGTATGTGGTTTGCACCTTCAAAGTACAAAGTGATGCAGCTAGACTGGGTTTCGCGTACTCCCGCTCTGAAACTAAATGGTCGGGATTTAGTTGTGGTGGATTATTTTTCCTACTTAGGTAGTTGCGTGACCATTGATGATAGTGCAGCAAAGGAGTTAACCGCCCGCATTTCCAAGGCTCGAACAGCGTATGCAGGTTTGAAACACCTTTGGTGTAGACGCGACGTTTCACTGAAGCTGAAAGGTCATGTATATTGTGCCACCGTTCGTTCAGTTGTGCTTTATGGTTGTGAGATCTTGAATTTGCTAGTAGAAGATATCCGTCCACTAGAAGTTTTCGATTATCGGTGTTTACGCGGTTTAGCCCACGTTGGATGGAGCGAACGGGTTGGTAATCTGCAGGTAAACCTTCGAGTGTTTGGGAGTTTGTCAGGTATAAACCTGTTAGCACACCGAATTCAGATTAGTAGGCTTCGCTGGCTGGGCACGTATTGCGTATGCCCAGCCATCGTCTGCCGCACCGCGCTTTATTCGCTGTGGCTAATCCGGGCTGGAGGCAGCCGCGTGGAGGTCAACAGATGACGTGGAGGCGAGGCATGAAGAAATGCACAGAGCCATTAGGTAGAGTAGGTGTATCTCGCCTTCCAGGTTGGGGTCCGAAAGACTCCACAGCTGGTTGGTCGGAGACATTGAAAGATATGGCAGCGAACCGGTAGCCGTGGCGTTCTTGTTGTCGTTTCTTATCAGGTCAGAATGCTTGAAACGGTATGTATACAGAATTCGATTGCGTACTCTGTGTTGACCATAGTGGCTCATCTTCTCCCTTCCTCAAAATAGATCCAACCCCTGTCCACCTTAAATTTTATCACTAACCTTGTATGCATTGTGAGTTTGGCAGCGGTCAGTGAAGTTCGCTTCACGGTATTTCGCTGTACGATGATGATGGGCCGATAACACTGGTTTGAGAGCGATAATTCATCAATCGATAAAATCATTGGATCGGACAGGTTACATGCTTTTGGACTGCTGGCCTGTACGCAACACAGTCAATTATCGGTACGTCGCTAAGTGAAACGAACATTTTAAGGCCTGAAGTTAAAACGACTTCTCCGATTTGTGGATGTCATTAGACACGAAAACGTGTATTGAATGAGCCCCATGGGTCCCGACCACATAAATCCCCATGAATTCTATAATCAAGGTTCTCGTTCCTTTGCGATACACTTTCAAATATCCATTGTTACTCTTTCTGCATTTACTGTCTTCCTCGTGGAATACTGCTCCTATTTCCCTGAATAACTTTGATAAACTACCATCCTATGCCTGCATTCTAATATTGTTTATCCGTATGTTCCACTAAATGTATACAGTACTTTAAAGGCACTCATTTTTGAGCAGTGATTAAGTCTGCAGCAAAGGAGTACGATGGACCGAATTGCATACAGCCACCCTAAATGATCAAGTGTTTGTTATATCAACGGTCCAGGTTTTCGATACAGTCAAAGCGTTTTCAAAGCCGATTGCTTAAGGGTTCACTCATTTCAGAACAAC